ACTGGAGGATCGGTACTCAATGGGCTCTCGGTGTTGGCACTGTTGGCCGAATGGAATAAGTATATCGATTATGAATGGGCCTCCAGGTCCATTCAGCTTGAACATGACCCAGCCTTGGTCCATCCTTGTCTAAGAGAGTCCGGTCACTTTCATTCTACGATACATGATAGTTTAAAGCTTCTGTTAGAACTACATTTTTCTCGTGTATCACGCGTTAGCTTTAATGTAATATATATCAAAAAAACATATATTATATATTATATATCAATATAATAGAATAATATAGAAAAATATATATTTTGATAAATATTTAAAAAATAAAACACCAAACAGTACAAAATACAAAGAAGAAGAAAAAATAAACGAAAACATCAAATTAAAAAAAGAATTAATTAATTAATTGGATCCATCAGGAAGAAAATTAATTTAACAAATAATTCTCGAGAGTAGATAACAAAAGCATGTTACACACACACACACACAAAGAACAACTGAGCCGACCTAAACTCCAAAAGTCGAATAAAACGAGTTGAAAGAAACTAAAATGAAACTGATTTATAGACAAGATTCGTAGGGAGTCCTGACAGCGATCTAAAGCTCGAGAGAGATCGAGTTGCAGAAAGGAGAGCACAGGAGTTGGATTAACATCGCGTGTTACATCACCAACGAGGCTTGATGACCAACGGGTGCAGCTATTTCCAGGCAGAAATTTAATTAATCTTGAACCAAAAACGTCCAAGTGGAAAATGCTGGCCTGGCCAAGCAACCCGCCACCTGGCAGAAATAGCAGGACTGTGAAAATACTACTTGACATTTCCCCCCTTGAAGGAATAAGATGGAAAGGGGAGAAACAAGCGAAAAATAAACGCAGACTTGGCACCTGCCCTCTTTGCACTCCATTCCTGTCATAATTCCAATTACACGAGAGATTTTCATATTTCCTTCGCTTTCCTTTCCTTTCACATTTCCCCAAAGTGAATGAAATTCCACGCTGATGTTCCGATTACGACAAAGTTAAATTCCGAATCTTTGTCCTAACTTCACTTTGCGATACAAAAAAAAAATGATTTAAAAATTTAAAAAGAAGCTTCTGCGACTATTGTAAAGCTCTAGAAATCTTCTTTCCAATAAAACCGTCTGTAAAATGTAAAATTAATCAGTGGAAACACAAAAATTAGCATTTTCGATCTGTCTAACGTCCTTGAAAAGCTTCCGTCGTCGAAATTTCCAATGAAATAAACAATTTCCACAGTCGTAGATCTCCAAATTGGTCAGCCACGTTCAATCGGTGGGAACAAATTTGAGACTGAGAGACTTAGCGCTTTCACCCTACATCTGTCCAACCTACTTAAAAACCTTTCCTCGCCAAAACGAACAGTCACCACGATTATGAATCCACCGATCACCGTCTCCGTGAAAATTAATCGGCGGAAGTATGGAAATGAACATTCCGGAAACCACTGGTCAACCGTTCTAATAATAATCGCGCGCCAACTTAATCCACCGGAAACCTCCATACCGAAATACGTGGACCCTAGACTGCGGAAGCGTTAAAAGCTCGGTTGGCATGCTCGAGTCTCGCGTCCCGATCCGTTCGTCAGGTGCAAGCACGAGATTTCGGGAAATTGCGGTAATCGTCCCAGTCATCGTGATTTATAGTGGCCACGCGCCGCCACTTCCTGTTCGAGATTCGTCCGACCACGAGCTTAATTAACTCTATCAGACTGATTCACAGAAACGACTCGTGTCGTATCGTGTTCTCTACCTTTGGTCACCTCGTGAGTTTGAAAATTAAGCTTCTTGTGAAATGATCTTGAAATTTTCAGCCATTTTCTTCTGTGTGCTCGATGTTTTACAATAATTTCTCCTTTGTTGATAGTTCAGTTTCTTGCCATTTTCTCTCTACGTCCTTGCTTTTGTATTGTATTTTTTATTATTATAGACACTATAATTATATATTATATATAACATCATATATCAAGTTTGTATTACGTACAAAACTACATTATAATTATACTTAATATAGTTATAATTATACTTAATATATATTACGTACAAAACTACATTATAATTATACTTAATATTCAATTCTTCGAAAAGTAATATGACTAACTTCAATGCAACAGTCCCTTCGATTTTAAGTGAAAGAACCAAACTGAATCTTAAAAAAAAAAAAAACAAGATCAAGAACAAGATCAAAAGAAGTACAAATTTTATTCAAGTGCATAACAAATTTTATTCAAGTTCCTTCAACCTGACGCGTCCAACAAATTGCAACGTGATAGATAACAAAAAAAAAAAAGAAAAAAGAAAAAAGAAGAAGAGGAAACCTCGCAAAGAGAGAAAACGGAACGTGAGACGGTTCGAGAGTCATTAATAAATGCTCGATGAGAGCCTCATCGATCAAAGAATGCTAACCGTGATAACTTCATCCAGCTTCTTATTTTAATTAACTTTGTCCCATACAGATCAACCGCTAGTACCTAGTATTTGCGTCACGCGACATTTTCTTGTAAGCGCGATCAGGCGGCATGATCGGCATGATGAGGTTGCATTACAAGACTTTATTGCAACTTACACAAGACGAGGCGCCGATGGCCAACCTGTTACCCGCTGCCTTTACATCTCGCATACCATCCAGTACGCGTTCCAACGAGGTTGCAAGCGTTTCTCCCCCCATGAATACATAATGTCGAAGCGCGCGACATTAATTTTATAACGCCAGAAGAGTGGAAACTACGGAAAATAGCTACGCAACTTGCTCGACTGGATTATGTCAGTTTACGCACAGGTGTAAAGTTTAACGCGCGAACTTTATGAAGAGATGCTTTTACCTCGGCGAACATACGCGTTCGTTCGCGTTCCTAACCGTGTGACGAAGAGCTATTACGAGAAAACGCTGGAATCTTCTCCGCAAACAAACCACAGACGCCGCGAAAACTGATCGTCAATATAAATGCGACTTCAGGTGATGATGCACGGAAAGAGTTGCTCAACTGTGCAACGAAGTTTCCACGATGAAGTTTAATAATCTATTCAACTGTTCTCGCGCGTTTCAGAGTATCGAGAGTCGAAAAACGGAACGATTAATGAAAAAAAAATGACAAGGACAATTAATGAAGACAACATGCTGCCTTTCCTCGTTTTTTCGTACGATAGATCTTATAAAATTAAGGTTAATGTATCTTCTAAACTAATAATGTTTTTCAATATATAGAGAGTTATACTTTTCTTTTTATAAAAAAAAAATGTCGAACTACGTGGAACAAAAGATATGTCATTCTACTTAAAAATGTAGATATGAACTTCAAAGTCCTCCATACAGAAAGAACTATTACTATTATATTATGGTTTCCTCTACACTGGAACTACCGACGATTAAAGCATAACATTTTTATCAGAGTAAAATTTCCTTCAAATAAAAGAAAAAATAGAGAAACTTAAAAACTTTATACAATAAAATACACAATAAAATACACACAAGTTATTATTTATATAGTTTACGAAAAATCAGTTGTCTCTAAAAGTACGCTGCTTTACACTTGTAAAATTTCTAAAAAAAATTATAAACTGGTCCTCAGTCATTCTGGTAACAATTAAAAAACTTTTATTGATTTTTTCATATCTCCAAAAACAACGAAAACGTAGAGGATAATTAACAAGATAGACCTTACATAAGCCATCCTGTACGTTCAAGTACCACAAATAAACACGTTCATTTCATTACGAATAAGATCTTAAGATCTGATCGTAAAACTGCAAATTTAGCAGTTAGTGGAAAATTAGTGGGGATGTTGCAGAGTTTTTGCATCGGTGTGCACGTGATTTAACGCGATGACAGTATTGTTTGTTATCGCGTCAATGTAGCTTGTAAAATCCTGCTTGACCAGGTTGCGAGGAACTGGACGGATCGGGGCGGTTTCGCGAGAGGCTTCTTTCCAAAGTATGTATAGAGCTTAATACGATGACAATAGAATATAATCTTCAACCGAGCAGAATGCGCATACAATAGCAACGCGACTGTCAAGAAAGCGTTATCGATCATGCGAATTTCCATGCAGAAATGAATCGCGACAGATTCTTTCCCCGGGAGTGAATGCAGCTTTACATAGCATTTAAAGTGTGACTAAATAGATAAGGCCAATATTATCATCAGATTATATAGCACTGGAATTTTATGGTACCGAGATTTTTTCGTCTATGCTGCAAGATGCTTTCTCACGCGTGAATAAGACTTTACACCAGATATATATTTTATTTTATTCGAACAACGAATAATGAATAACGAATAAATCTGTCAAATTTATTCGTAAATAACGAATAATGAGAAAAAATTATTCGTTACTTACGAATAACAATTTTATTCGAGGAAAAATTATTCGCTATTTACGAATAACGATTTTATTCTAACAGAGCTTGTTCGAACACACAGTTGAGCATTATTCGAATAACATTTCGAATAAATTCTTCGAATAAAATTTTATTCAAAATATTTACTGAAATAATGTAAAGAAAAAGAATCAGGAATCCATTTTTTACAATTTTGGTTTATTTAATAAAGTTGCTTTTAGTACAATTTTTTGTTCGAACATTTTGTCGGCTAATTTGTTTGCTTCAGGCGAGTTTGTTATAGTTGAAAATGAAAAGAGTGTGAAAAAAGGACTCTTTTTCTTCACATTATTTCAGTAAATATTTCGAATAAAATTTTATTCGAAGAATTTATTCGAAACATTATACGAATAAAATTTTATTCGAATAATGCCCAATTCTGCTTTACACACGATGACTGAGTAATGAGTAGCGTCAATATCATTCTTTATTGAGTAGGATCGTTGTGTGATTTTTTAATTTTTTTTTCATGAAATTGCACTAGTTTAAATTATCAAACAATTTTTATGCTCTTCGTTAACAATAAAATAATATCCCGTTCCCGCTATCTCTAACCTTCGTTTCTCCCACGCATGATACGTGCCTTTACGTTACTCCTCACTCTCGTTTTCTCGGTCGAGCCACCTTCAACTGTCAGACCAGGCGCGGCGAGTTTCGCGACGGTGAAAAGATGGATTCAACGAGGCCGTCGTCGCGGTAGGCACGAAATCAAGATACGATTATATCCAGGACGAATCGAGGCCCGATGCCCCGTTCGGAATAAGGCCTCGCAATCGCGACAGACAACCAGCGGCGAAAAATTCACGGCTCCGCGGCCCGACAATGACCCCGCCGCCTCTTTGATGTCATATCATCAGCCATATGACGACTCTGCCAACGATGCAGGTTAGAACAACGATTTCTCGATTTGTACGTCTTTATTTTTTTTTTTTTTTTGTTTTCTTTAATTCGTGTTCGATCCCGATCCAGATCCATCTACGGATAAGGGAGACTTATTGCGAAATCTCAGTGACAAACGATCGTGTGTCGAGGCTGTGACGTCCGGGTACAAAGCTGCGACCATCGAGCAAAGAACGAGGGACGAAGAGGGCGGAAAGAGGAGCTTGGTCGATCAAAGAAGGAAAGATGATGGTAACGAATAATCTGATTTCTTTTGTTTTTTTTATTTTTAAGTTTCGATTGAATTTATTTTAAATATCGTGGATATCGAACGAGTATATTATTAAAATGACGCCTGTATTAATTCAAATTAAAGTCTGCGAGCGTGACATTATTATTAAGCATTTATGAAAACGGCGACGTCAATTAACTCTTCGAAGACTCACTGAAATTAAAATACTAAACGAAGAGTGTATAACAAATTAGAAATTTATACGTTAAATTTCATCTTCAAATATATACACCGTTTATTAAATATATTGTAACTTATTTAAAAATGTATCAATTCCACGATTTAAAAAATTTACAAAATAATTTGTATAATAATAAAATAATAATATTAATCTATATTATCAATTTCATTTTTCATTGTCATCGAACAAATCATTTCGAAATTTATGATTTCCAAACAACTGTTTGCAGAGTCTCGGTTGTTCAGCGATATTTGCCGAATATGTCACATGGGCAGTTTCTCAACGACCGACGAAAATCGAGCAAGCCGCGAAAGACAGAATCAACCTGTTCGAAGAGTTGACAGTCAAACGTCCACATTATCGTCCTACGCGTATCTCGGCCCTTTGATCTCGGCTTGCAAGTGAGTTTATCGATACCCGTTACGATTTATCTGTTTCGCTAATCAGATTGCTGCATTGTATCTTGTAACAGCGGGAACACTGAGCTTAAGATCATTATCGGACTCAATCCATCGAACGCTCTTTCCCAAAGATTAACATCGGTAGTCTAATCTAACTATAGAATCAGAAACATTTCTTTCTGAGATGGAGAGGAAGTGATTTGGACACTTTCTGATGAAATTGGCGTGATATTTTATTTTTTCTTTCTTTCTTCTGAGAACTTATTCTAAAATTTCTTCTTTGAAGTTTAAGGCGATTTTTTTAGTTGTCAACTTTGAAAATTTGAATTATTAATTATTTTCAACTTCGGGACTTTGGCTTTTAAATTGTTTCAATTGCTTTAAACTGTGAACTTCTGAAGTTTGAATTATTAATTATGATAATTCGATTTTGAACTTCCAATTTAAATTTTTACTTATTTAATTTCCTGTTCTCTCGACATTTCCCGTCGTTCAAGATTTTCTTGTTTCTTCGCTCTGAAGTAAAAATTCTCTCTTCTACGATGCAGTTTAGAATCTCCGCAGACTTTAGACTGATTTATTAAACACAATGTTTAACACAAGTAAGTCATCAATAGATAAACAATCTACTTGCTTGTCCAAATCAAAAAATTTCACAATCACGATATACTTCGTTATATTTAGAACATTTTAATCCATTTGTCACTTTTGATGAATGCGACAGGTGTCGGGGGACAGTAGCGTTGGTACATACGGAATGTCTTGAAAGATGGTTAACAGAATCGGGTCACTCGAGATGCGAGCTTTGTGGCTACAAATACGCAACTAAAAGAGTACCGCGTCACACTTTGTTCCGTAGTGTCGCAATATGGTTCAATACCGTATTAGTGACTCGTCAGGTAAGAGATCTTGCTTATTCAGTATTCAGTTATTCTTCTATACTGTGATAATCACTCAATATTTTTATCTTGTAATTCGATGTTCGATTTTGTCACCTGTTAAGTAAAATACCTTGATCATTCAGCATTCTGTTAGTCTACAATATCCATTGTCTCTTCATCCATCGGCATACCATTGTCTATTTACACTGAAATTTCATAATTATCTATAATTTTATGAGGAACAAAATCTAGATTTTTGTTAAATATTTTCTATCACATCTACCATCAGTGGAAGAAATCCACTATGTAAGAATGTTCACTATACTTATAAATTTTTCTTTTAAATTTAAAATTTAAAATTAAAATTAAAATTGAAATTGAAGTTAAAGTTAAAGTTAAAGTTAAAGTTAAAGTTAAAGTTAAAGTTAAAGTTAAAGTTAAAGTTAAAGTTAAAGTTAAAGTTAAAGTTAAAGTTAAAGTTAAAGATAAAAAAGTTAAAGTTAAAGTTAAACTTAAAGTTAAAGTTAAAAATTTTCTTTTAAATTTAACACAACTGAGATTCTTATTGTAAATACGATTCTCTCTTTCAAATACAAAATATCACATTTCCAGATGCTTTTGGATATATTATACCTAGTAGTGACTACACCATTAGCTCTATTCTCCTGCTACATTTGTATTCTGGCTCTGAGAATGTTGCTGAAACGTGGCTTACAGGAGATGCCCTGGATGGTCGTTGCTATGCTCCCTACCTGTTCTCTCACTCTAATCGCCTACTGGGGTTGGATAATAACTTTGGCCAGGTGTGTTAATTACTTACCACTTTACTTTCCGCCATCGCCGCGTTTCACGCACGACATTACATTCATTTCGAAAAGAAACGTCACGCCACAGTAAGGGAAGACATTCATATTAATGCGCGGTAATTGAGCGAAATTAATTTAACCGCGATACCAAACCAGCATCGGACGAGTCGCTCTTTCACTTACAGTAGCTGACAAAAGTTTAAGACCACCGTAAACCTTAGTCTTTGATAGAGTACTTTGTAATAGTAATTCATGATTTGAACGTTCACACTCTATTTGGAAACGATCGTGCAACATATAACTTTCATTTTATAAAAATATGAAATTCCATAAAAATCCACAATCTACATATTGGAGGTATCAGTACCTTAATTTTTATAAAGTGGAATCTACAATCTCTTATGTTTTATAAAAATCACATTTTATAAAAATATGAAACCGCATAAAAAGTCTGCAGTCTATATATTAACCACTTGCGCTGGCAACTGATTGCGGACCATAACGAGTGACCAAATACCGTATACAATAATTCATCGCTTTCTTTTTGAACTCGTCGGTATGATATCGCTGGATAGAAATTATTGAGAAGTAGTAAATTTATTATTTGTTTTGTCTGGGTTATACACAAATATACTTAAAACTGAGAAAGTGTTGCAATTTTGAGACAAAAGATTCTCGACGTGCGTGGCACGTCATTCCAGCGCAAGAGGTTAAAAGTATCGACAGTCTATATATTAAAGGTATCATTTTTATAAAACTTACAAACGTTGTAAAAATCCATAGTCTATATATTGAACACATATAATGAACGAAGGGGCAATCATTTTAAACTTTTGTTCGCTACTGTATGTCATCCTTTTTCCACGTAAAACCGCTTATTTCAGCCGTTGACGTTACCACCGCTTATTCATTACCACCGATCCGACCATCATTTAGCGGCGCGTTGCCATTAAACAAAAATATCGTACCAACCCAATGCAGATTTATCGCGTCGAGTTTCGCCTCTTTAACTAAATCACACTTAAACCCAACAACTCTTGTCTCATTTACCAGCCCCGTTCTATATAAATCTGTCTTTAAGAATTTTGTCTATACAACTTAATAACCTCGTTAAGCGACCGTGTAAATTTATCAGACTGCACGGGCGTAGATGGCGGCGTTATTGGAGGAGTAATTTCGTCGTACGTTTGATACCTGACGATTCCATCGGTGAAACGAACCTGAGGCAAGGAGAGATCATTGAACGTCAACTTTATCAGCAAAACTACATGGACGACGAAACGACAGAGATTCACCATACAAATTCCCGTCAATCGATCGATCTGAACGATACCTCTTGACTCTCTCGACTCTCCAGTAAGATTTAATTGCTGGTAACGTCGTTTCGTTGAAAAGCGGCTTCAATCAAGCTGATTACTTGCTCATTGACGATGATTAATTGTATTAGGGTGCCCGAGTTTTCACGTCGCTTCCGGTTGTCTGTCATCTCATACCAGAGTATAAATTGAGAGAAGCGAATACAGTATAAATCCAGAAGTTCTTTCCTTTTTCTTTCTCTTCTTTCAGCTCGATGCTTCCATGCACGATGTTCGCCGTTATTGTTGCAATAGCGTTTTTCATGATTTTGGTTCATCTCATGATAACGGTGAACAACAGACTGTTTAAGATCGCTGTAAAATTTCAGATTGCTGCGCTGATGTTAATAAAGCATTAAGTTCTTCTGCTACAGTGGTTTCGTTCATTTTACAAAGCGGTCGAAATGGCTAAATTATAATTCCTTGGAGTTCCGCAGATTTTGTTGTGTTTCTAGAAAAATTTTTGAATGATTTTTGTATTATAAAATACATGAATAAAGACAACTTAATTCTTTGAAATTCTTTTTTAACTATGGGTAGACTTATAATGTGAAAACGAACGTAAAGTCAAAAAAAGATGTTCGAATGAAGAAGAACAGGCGTAAGGATGAACGAAAGTGAGGGAGATTGGAAATACAGAGCGGAAAAGGTAAAAAAGAGTCAGAAAGTCACGAGGATAAAAAGAAAAGAAGTTAACCGGGTAAACCAGCTTCGAGAGAAGTTGTCCGTGATCAAAAATCCCGTTGGGTTTCACTTTCGATAGATGGAAAGTTATTACGAGAGGGACGTCACTCTATCTCGTCAATCCGAAAAATGACGATACCAGTTTCTCACAATTATATTTACATAATTATTATAAATATTGAAATATCCCAAACCTAACCCGCCTTTCGTTCTATTTCGTTTTATAACTTTTGCACGTTTCATTTTCAGTTACACGATAAAACAATAGAATTAAAAATAACAATTAAATAATATTAATTGAAAAAGGAGTACAATTAGCTGGTTGAAACATCACTTTATTACAAATGGCTTCAATGTTGAACGATTTCTGCTAGTCCAATGAAAAGAAAAGACGAGCTCATTGCACTATAGAAGGCGACGATGAGTAAAATTCTGATTTCTTAAAAAAAATATTAATTTTTTCCTCGTCGTTGACCTTTTTTTTATACGATCTCATTCTATACAGATATAATGAAATTAAACTTTACGAGTATCATGAGAGGATGATGCAATTGGTGAGTGCAAATGGTGCGTGCGTGCGTGTGTGATTGTGTGTGTGTGTGTGTGAATATCCGACGATCGAAAGCTTGCGAACGAAAAAAAAAAAAAAGAAAAAAACGAAAGACAAGATTTGCATGAAACGAGAAGACAAGATAGCCAGAGCACTTGGTAACAAAGTAGAAAGAAGTATTTCCTTTTATGTGTTTTTCTCTCCTTTTTCTTTGTTATTTATCAATAAAGTGATATCCGACACCTCTACAAAAATTCTACCCTATATACATATATTAATATTTCATTTTATATTGAAAAGTAAAAAATTAATTGATATTTGACAATTATACGTAAACTGCGGATTTTTACGTGTTTTCAAAAAAATTAAGATTAAGATATCGAAAACCTGCAAATCGATATAACATATAAAATATTCAAAGTACAGTGTTTATTATTTAGAATTAGTAGTACGAAAAAAATTTTCAATTATGTTTTAATGATGTTATAAGTATTAATGTATATGTTTTATATCATGTTATATATATTAACAAAATAATAAGAACAAAACAAGATACAAAAATGTGCAGTCTAATTATGAAGTATCTAATTCCTTAATCAAATTGTTTTGAATTTTCGAATGTTTCCAATTTCAATTTTTAAACACTTGAGTTTTCAAAGTGTCACACTTTCAAGCATATAAACTTTAAAATATTTAGATTTCAATTACTAAATTCTTAAAGACGCAAATTCTTACATTGTATTATTAAGATCTTAAATGATAAAGCAAGAACTGAAATCTAAATATAATAAATAGTAAAATAAAAATGAAATCTAAATAATAATTGTCTTCAGTTTTCCTAATTCTAGTTCTCCTCGTTATTACTCGAAATTCTCAAAATTTCTAATTGTCCTAACTTCCCGATTCTTCAAACCTCTTTTTCGCTATTATTCGTTTCGATTCTTAAAATTTTCCCCTTTCTCTAAAAACCCAGTATTCTAATTTTCAACAATTTCTCACACGATCGTTTATTCTTCTAAATTTCACATTCATTCGATTATTCGAGATTCTAATTCACTTCTCTTCCAAAGAAACTCGACCATTTCAGTCTTTCCAATTTAATTTCCAAATTCAACAAGAATACATAAATTTTTTAAAAATAATATTTGAAAAAAAAATACGAAATGACACGAAAGAACATTTCTGTCAAATGTTGCACGGTGTCAAGGGAAATTGTTCAGAGCTTTTACATGTTTGACCTTGCGATAACTTTGAAACGTCCTGTTCCAAGGATTAAAAATTTTCAACGAATGTACCTTTATATTTTATTACATATTCCCATTCAGCTGACGTTCAAACGTATTCAACGTAAATCTTAAAGTTTTTAAATTAAATCCCTTGCTTGGAGCATTTTCCCAGATGTTTAAACGTTTCTAGTTAAAACGGGCGTATCGTGTGAAAATGAAGAGAATAATGAGAGTAACGAGAACGAAGGTAAAAATTATTGAACGATAACTGGCTGGGAACATTTCCATTTTGCTCTCGTTTTCCGTCCAGCGTCTTGAATCTCTCGTTTATTTTTCGAAACCGGCATTCTTTTTCTCTCTCTTTTCATCGGTTCCCTCTCATTTCTCGGACGGCGGATGTTTCACGAAGAAACAAAGAGACTCAATTTTCTACCTATTCCACGTGAAAGTAACAGAGATAAAGCGGCAGCGTTTTAATAAGGATTCGCATAATTGCACGCTTCTCCCTCTTCTCGGGCAACGAACGCCGCAGCTCCGTTTTTTCTATAATATTTATTGCGCTCGCGTTTATCTTACTAAATAACGTCGATCAACCTTGAAGCCTCGCCATATACGCCGGAGATTTCCTTTTTTTTTTTTTTTTTTTTTTTTAATAAAACTGCATCCTGCAGTCGCGCGTACGAAGGTGGAATTTTTCAACGATCCGAGCGAGCCTCAAGACACACTGAAGAGTTGTAAATTAATTTCGAAGGAAAGCGGTTTACCCGGGTGGAACACGAGCTTACATACCTTTTGCTCGATCAAAAGTTACGCTTAAGCTTACAGATACGCGATATGACAGAGGTATGTGCAACGATAACCAGTTAAAATGATAGAGATTTTAAGATAGAGATTTTTTCCAGAGGACACGTGTTCTTTGATACCTCCGAGTATATAATTTATAAAGTTATAAACTTGCGTATGTTGTATTATACGCATGGTTTATTCGTCGTGATGTGAATTTGATACAGCGTATTTCAAACAGCTACTGTCATTGAATTAAAATCACAGAATTTTTACATCTTTCGCGTGTGTCACAGAAATTTAATTAGAGGTTTCTTTGAAGCATTAAAATACTATATACTATACAAAAGTTCAAGTAAAATTTAATTACAAATCTTTTTAAATATTACATACATAAATGTTGATAATTCATATAGTTCTGTATATTATTATTAGACTCTGAAAAGAGTGAAATACAATATATATAATATATAAAAATTATAAAAATATGTAAAAGTATAAACATACATAAAATACCAAATTATTCACTTATTATAAATAGGTATTTATTACAAAATAATATTCAATAAGTACAATAATTCATCAATCACTACGAATATGCATAAATATGCATAAGCTACTAAGAAAATGTTTCATTTGGATCTCTGAAGATTTATTATTGATTTTGTATCGTGAGAAAAAAAATTAAAACGAAATGTAATATTTTAACAGGATTTTAAAAAAAGATATATGCTGTAATAAAACTAAAAGAAATACTAATTATTAACATGTACTCTTACATGTGTAATGTTTTATATATGTATGCGTGTACTAATAATTAATGTGATTAACGTAATTATTAATAGTTAATTTAGTTTAAATCGCATTTAAACTTTTCAATTTTACCAAAAAGTTTGCAAGATATTGAAAAATGTCAGTGAACCCAATTCAACGGGCATGAGCTGCATGTACAACGTCTACATAAAGACGAAAGTCAACTATAATGAAACTATAAAATATTTTTAGTGCGCTTCTTTTGGTACTTCGTGCAATAAATGTCAGAACTGCGTGTTTCATTTAATACGAAACATGTATTAATTAACAACACGAGTTCCATTAAATGAATCGAAATAACGTTTCATCAAGAGCTAAAGAAAAAAAAAAAAAGAAGCGAAAAGAAATTAAGCAAGAATATAATTTCGAGATTCTTTCAATCGGAGAAGTTACAAATATCAACGATTATCAGTGAAGAAATTTTTTCTCTCCCGTAAGAACATGTTTATTTCATTCTAATATTGTTTGATTGTAAAATCAAAGCATAGAATCTTTCCAGTGCGCTTCTTTCGTACATCGTGCAATAAACGTGAAGGAGTTGCGTAGTTCGTTTAATATGAATCACGTCCGCGAAACACGTGTTAATCAACGACGCGAGTTTCATTAAACGAATCGAGATAACGTTCCTCTAACGGAAGAACGACGAGAACTTGAACAAGAATATGAAGACAGTCTCTCAGACTTCTAGAACTACGCGTGCTATAAATGAAAGTGGAATATATGCGAAGTAACGAAGCTCTTTAATTACATACAAGACACACGTCAGATATGTGACGTAGCGCTATCGAAGTACACCTGATAACGTTGCAAAAAATATAGCAAATATAGAAGAACCCGTTATTAGAAACCAAGAGTACGAGACTATCCTAAATAAACGAAGCTCGCTTCACCTCGTTCGAATACGATATAGACACTCTAATATCTATAACAACCGTCGTTTCAAAGAATTTTACAACTTAATCCGAGGTAAATAATTTCTGAAACTATGTTCCATTCCGCGGCAGCAATCACCATTTGCATACATAAGTTCGATGCAACTTGTAACCTTTAATAGCGTTTTCCTCTCAATTTCGATCATACACCTGCGACATAATAGTTCCCACACGCAATTTTTCTCGAGCGAAACTTCGGCTTCGATATTTCGATGGAAAGTGGATTTGCATAATACGGCCATTCGCATTCAGGAAACGTAATTGCATTAGATAACCTTATCGTTAGTAACTGTTCGCGGAGTTCTAGGGTCCTTTAGATGGCTACTGGATAGTCGTAAGATCCGAGATCAGTTTAAATGAACGACTATGGGCTTTCCTACTTCGATTTAGCGCGATGTTGGACTAATCGCGACTGTAATAAGGATGAAGCGTGGCTTTCACTTGGCAACTAATCCTTCTTCGAAGTTTTCAGATTTCGCTTTTGAAGTTCTAAAATGTATATTGTTAAGGTTCGAAACTTGAAACTCTGAAATTTTTAAGTTCGGTATATTTGAAGATTTAAGATTTAATTCTTAAAGTTTCGATGCCTATATAGCTGTTGAAAACTTGAAGCTCGAACGTTGACAAGCAATGTTTTCTTTTAATCGAGGTTTAATTTTTAAAGATTTGCGGCTCAATTATCGAAGTCTTTTTCAGTTGAAAAGACGTGCAAAATTTATTCTAATTCTGAAATCTTAGAAGTGAAGCGTTTTTTTACACGTGAAGAAAATTGAATTTTAATACTTTCGTACTTCGCATTCTCTTGACAGTTACATTAATAGCCAAACATATTTTATATTTGCAGATAATTATAGAATGACACGTAGATTTGCATT